GGTACAACCTGAAAAGAGTTGAACAATCTCAATTTTTTAAGAGTTGACATTTTTTAGGAGGAAACGAAGTGTGCGGGATCACCTAGTATTTTATAAACCAAAGACCAATTTTATATTTTACTAAATATAATTTTATAAACATATTTTACTAGTATATAATTATCTTTATTGGTTTTGAAATTATAGTTATTCATATTAATTTGTTGTTACCTATGTTATATGTATAAGTTGTTAAGATTTTCCGAGTATAATAAAATATATCTGACTAAATGTCCCATATTTATATTATATACTGGGTGATTCTTTTATCAAACAACACTCATTATTTCAAAAAGTGTACATTTTTTTGAAGATATTTTTTTACATAGTTTCAAGTCGCTTATAAAACAACGTTTTTATTAAAAAATTATATTTTTAATTATTTTTTATCCTTATAATTTTTTAAGTTTTTTACTTTTTTGAATGACAACATAGGGTTTTAATTTTATATTCTAAAGTAGAATATTTTTCTTAGTATTTTGATACATGAAAATCGAATTTGGGTTGAGTAGTTTATGAGTTATAAGTATTTAAAGTTTAGACGAGCGGTGAAGTGGACAAACATTTCGCGGGGTAACCCCGAACCACTCCACTCCGCTAGTCTAAACTTTAAATACTTATAACTCATAAACTACTCAACCCAAATTCGATTTTCATGTATCAAAATACTAAGAAAAATATTCTGCTTTGGAATATAAAATTAAAACCCTATGTTGTCATTCAAAAAGTAAAAAACTTAAAAAATTATAAGGATAAAAAATATTTAAAAATATAATTTTTTAATAAAAACGTTGTTTTATAAGTGACTTGAAACTATGTAAAAAAATATTTTCAAAAAAATTTACACTTTTTGAAATAATGAGTGTTGTTTGATAAAAGAATCACCCAGTATATGTAATATATATAACCATATTTTTCATATTTTCTAAGCCGTTATCGTTGACTATTATAGTATTATCATTAGAAAATGAACTTTAATAGCTCAGAAACTACTCGTTAAAATATTCATTCAGAATTTATTTCAATTTTAAAAATGAGAAAATCATTTGCTTAAAATTGAATAGTAAAATAAAAATACTATTAGATTTGAAAAATAATATGTTTTTTTGTCTCAGATTATACTCTTGTATAATTTATAAAACATCTATGCATTTTTAAACATAGTCTACATAATGAATTAGTAAACTTAACACTTTCAAACATAAAAATTTGAATACATTTTAACTAGGTACTGACTCATTTTATTTACCATTAATAATTCATTTTGATTTTAAAAGAAAAACATCTGTTCGACTATTTACCTAAAAAAAAAATGTGATCTCATTTAAATATAATTTTTATTGCCACAAAATACTCATTCCTTGACAAAAAAAAACAACTGAGTATTTTAAAACATGGTTTTTACGAATACTTAAAACTTTCAAAAATGTTTTCTTAAGGGAAAAAATATGTCTGAACTCAGTATAATTTAGAATACTCCTTCAAAAAAAAAAACTATCTAGTTATCATGAAGTCTAAGTAGGTGTACTAAAAAAAAACTTTCAAAAATAAAAAATCGAATGTCTGTTTAAATATAGGATAAAAAGGTAAGTTAACACCAATTCACCTATTATCTACACTTATGTATTAATAGTGTCATGTTTTAGTGCACACATGTCAATATCTACATATTATATTTTATAGTACCTATACCTATATATTATTATTATATTATTATAACATATTATCTAATATTATATAGGTACCTCATAAGCATACCATACATACCGGTATTTCTCGGTTATTATATTATATTGGTATAATCGATAATACACGGTATTAGATATGCTCGCAGTCTGCATAGTGTCCTCACACACGTACACACACTCATCAGTGGAAATAGGTGTGGACTAGATTAGGTTAGAACACTAATAACACACACTACAATTTATTATAATATAATGTACTAAACTATAACTATTTATTGGAATGGGTGAAAGCTCACTATTAAAAGTGGTGAACTTCATGGGCCCATATCAAAAATGAATACAGGTATTATATTTATTTTATATTTTACATTTGGATTTTACAGAAATGAGTGTTTATAAAAAAAATTATATTTAGCCAATTCACGCCGGCGTTGCAACTGCTGGTTGGGTCATTTATTTCACGCCAAAATAATTTCTAATCGATTCGTTGAACAATCATCAACATTTATTAGACTGTATTTTCGCCATAGTGTTAGTTTGTAGGTACTCTAGCACTGCCAAATAACACTAAAAATATTTTTAAAAAAATTACCCAAAATAAGAAAATCTCATCAAAGAGGTTTTTCACAGTTATTTGTATATAACGGTACAAGTATAAAGTATAGATATACATATTACGTTAGATGAAAGCTCATCAACTTGTGACCGCACTTCTATTATGACGTGTAAAATTAACAATAGTGTAAGATCTACTGTGAAATATCAAAGGTATTCTAACCAAGCTATTCATCAAACTGAAACATCTTTTTATTAAAAAATAGACCTTTTTCATATTTTCCTCAGACATAATGACGCCTATTATAATTAAATTTAAATCTAATTAACAAAATACATAATATATTTTGGGTACCTGCCTCTATAGTTTTTTATAAATATATTATACAAATTAAAAACCCTAGTCCCCTAGAACAATAAAATGTGTGTCTATTTTCACCTAAGTGACTATAATTGGTGTTATGAGTGGCCAGCAGAAGAATATTCCTATTACTATTATTCTAATTCCTTAGGTACTATTTAAAAATAATTTGGAAAAACTAACTAAATAACATTGGACAACAAACAATTCAAATAACTTTTAATTGTAATATCTAATAATAAGTCCTTGATAATGTAATATAATATTCCTCATAAGTCGATTTTACTGAAATTAAAAAAAAAAGTTTAGAGTAATGCTATATGAATATTGTCAAATGTTGATTTTATCGGATATTTAATAATTTAATAATAATATAGGTATGTACCTATTATTAAAATAACGATTTTTCTAAATAAAACTATTTTAGTTTTATTTTACTGAATTTAAAAAAATGTCAAATCTAGAAACTAAAAATATGCCACTATTAATTAATTAAAATTATATTTTTCTTATGTTTTTTTTCAACAAATGTCGATAATTTTTGCTTGAAAATGTAATATAATATAATAAAGGTTTCAATAAGGATCCAATTGACAAGTGATAACTTATAAGTAATGACTGATAAGCTATAACTTATAAGTAATACATAATAAGCTATAAACTTATAATTTATAACAAATAAAGTAGTAATTTCTGCAAAAGAACTATTAATGTTGATCATTGTCAATTTTTCATAGTCAATGTATGTAATATACAATCATCTATAAAAGGATACGTACCTATAATAAAAATATATTTTCATGACTTCTTTGATATAATATTTTAAGAAGAGCAACATTAAACATTTTGAAATAATTCAAATTCAATACCTAGCTTGTCATAAATGATGTGTCAATTTTAGAACGTGTGCAATGAAAATGTTACCGAATGTGTTCTTTTATTTGATTTATTTACCTCTCACATATACGAAAAACAAAAAGTAAAAAGCAAATATCTTATTGGTGATAAGAATCAAGTCGTTCTGCTAAGAGAAGTCGATTATTTTCATGTCGAAATACTTCTTCTAATTGTTACTTCTTCTTCTGTATCAATGGATTATGTTACTTTATTACTTTTACAGTGTGTATTACATATCAATATTGGACATTTTTTTGCTCATTAGTTAACTGAGAAATAAATTATATCAACAAATATTAGAACAAACTTTTAATACTTTTACCTCGTCATACTGAAACGACGGTTTTTTCAGCACCTAATGAACTTACGCAGTTCAGAGAGTTTTTGAAACTATGTAATCCATTTTTCCATGCAACTATAGCAAATGCCAAGTGACGTAGTTACGTATTAAAAATAATTAAATTAGATTCAACATCAATTGTTTGATGAAGTTTTTTCAAGTACCTATACCTAACAACACGAATAAATCGAATTATTCCAGTAGCAAAATAACAAGATATACTCAGTTTCTTTAAAAAATATACACGTATGACAAAACACACTATTAAATCCAAACACTAAAATATTTGACTTCGTGTTCAGAAATAACTTATAAATATAATATTATATAGATACTTCTATAACTGGCAATCAATATAATATTTTAAATAATATAATTTATAAATATAATTTTATGATATATCATATCAGTTCACTGTAATTTGTGTGTTAAATATGAATTAAATGACATTATACTGTAGCACACAAAAAACGAATCTGAGAAAAAGCACTCTCATCCTGTTTTACAAAGGATATTATTTATAATGTATTTATATTACCACAAGGAGTCTTGTAAAGTATTTGAGTAAATGTATTTTGATATAATTTTATGGTATTTACTATTTAGAATTCTTTTTAAATACTTATACTTATACTAGTATTTGGAAAGTATTTATAATTAAAAATCAAATACTTCTATGTAAGTATTTTTAAAAAATAAAAAGAATTATTCGACACATTTCCGATTGTTTTTTTTTAATCATAATACATAACGTCGGCCTAATTCGCAAAAGTAGTATTTCCATTTTTTGTCATTTTGGGATTATTTACTCATAAAATAAAGAAAAAAAAACTGCGTCTGTTGATACAATTTCCGATTTCATAATATTATCCTCCATGAAATAGATAATTAGAAATCGTCGTATCTCCAATTAATAATATGGCCACGAAAAAGTCGTATCTCCAATAGGATAATATGATGTGATAATATTTTTGATTAAATACTATTTTCATATTATTTTATAAATGTTTTATTTATACCAGTGTTTTCTGTTATTATTTGTTATTAATTTAATGATGTTAATTACTTATTACCTACTTTATTTTTCAAAACGTTTTAATTGTTTTTACTTAACAACGCCATGTCTTCTCGAAGTAAACAATTAATAAAATTGGCTCTAAAACCGATCACTGTTGTAAGTAGTGATGAAAAATATGCTGATTTCAGTACCAATCAAGTTGCAAATTTTCATATTGAGCCTAATGAAAAAATTGATATTGAGATATGCAAAACTGCATGTACTAAACATCCATACATTGTTGAGTACTTATCATATGATTTTTTAAAATCATTTTCTGTACCTAAATATTGTAAGTCTATAAGGCGAGGAAATAAAAAGGGTGATCCTGTTGTGACTAATATAAAAGCTCTTAATTATAAACCACACAAAGAAATCAACTATAAGCTAAGATTTACTGAAGATTGGTCAAATCTTCCACTATTAAGAAATAATAAACAGAATACAGTTATCTCAGAAGCATTACCACAATTACACATGGACAGAATAAAAATTTAAAAAGAAAAATATAATCATTTGCAGCAACTCAAAAATAGTATGGAAAAAGACTATCATCATTTTTTTGATAATTTGCCATTTCAATGATGATTTTAATTAATTTTGTACAAATAAGTATTATATTAAAATGTATTTTATATAGTAACTTTATTTTATTTACAAACTGTATTTTTTATAGCTATTCAAAGACTGCATACTATAGTGCCAAAGATATGGTTAACTGTTGTTTTTATGTTATTAAAAGTTGTTATTCATTATTTTAAATTTGTTCAATGAACTATTGTGATAGTAACAGTTATTTTATTATATTTTAACATTTATTTTATTTAAAAACTGTATTTTATATAGGTATTCAAAGACTGAATATTATAATACCAGAGATATGTTCAACTATTGTTTTATTTGTTTTTTATATTATTAAAAGTTGTTGTCTAGTATAATAATATTATTAAATATACCTACAGCTTTTTTCCTTTGTATAAAAGTTTTATAAATTAAAATACTAAATATTATATGGTATACTATTTATTTCATAATAGGTAATATTGCCTTAATAATGCTTAAAAGCTGCCTGTCATATCTCCATATAAATTAGGAACTATAAGAAGAAATGGTTGTAAGTCCATTGCACAAATGTCATAAAAGTCGTATCTCCATATTTATTAGGCAATCTAAGAAGAAAAAGTCCTGAGTCCATTATAAAATTATTAATGAACACTACAATGTATAAATTGTTCTATTATAATTGCAATTATGTTTTTTAAATGAAAGGGAAAAGAATAATGTCTAATTTTATCAAAGTGAATTAATTAAAGGTTTTTTTCTTCTCCTGAACAATTTGTAATTTTGGACATACGACCTTTGCGAATTAGGCCGACGATAAGCTATATTATTTTATTTATCATGAAAATCAAATTATCATACATTTATTTGAATATTAATTGATTGTTTTGTATTCCTTAAATAACTGTGCCCGGTGCCGATGCCATTTTGTCCTCAAAAATACACTCTGCGGGAATAACGATACCGCCTTGTAGAATCAACCAAATTTCATAATTTTTTTTTGTTTAATTGCAAGAGGGAAATATTCTACAGCCCTCATCGATCTCTGTTTTTCAATATTTTATTCTCAAACTTTATAATATGTCTAAAAAAATACAAGATAAAAAGCATTTTTTTACAATTTTTTTTATACAATTATTTGAAATAAAAAACAAAATGAAAGATCGATGCCGGCTGTAGAAAGTCTTCTTCTTTCAGATAAAAAAATAGTTATCAGAATCCGACAATTCTACAAAGCTTGAGAGTTATTCTCTTAAAGTCGTTTTTTTTTCGATAAAATACACATTCCATAAACACCATAAATAGGTATCGGGTAGTAGATTAGTGGAAAAGTCTTATAATTGAGGTGGCAACCATTTAATATAACTCATTTTTATTTATATTTATTTTTAGTATAAAATGTAGTACTTTTTACTAAGTTTTTTTATTTGTAGTGTTATTGTAGTGTGGTGGAGGTAGGGTTTGGAACGGTGAGTTTTTACACTTGAGTGTTTGGAAGCATTTTTAAGTGGGCACCAGTAGGTATCTGCCATGCTCGGGTGGGGGATGGCGACCCTTCTCTCCGGACACCGAGATTTCCTGAAGAAAAATGTCGCCCGTAGCCGGGATCGAACCGGTGCCGGTGCTCGTCGCAACCGACTCCTTAGTCCACTCCGCGGGACGGCAACCTTATTCAAATTAGTAGGTAATATAATTAATTATAAAATAAATTTTCTTACCTGCCTGTGCAATCAAATAGGTAAAATTAAAAAAGTGTGAAAAGTATTTAAATAATTTCCAAGTATTTGTATTTTTTACTTTATTAATATTATTTTTTCTTAAGAGTATTTTAAATACCTACTTTTTAAACGTATGTATTTGGATCTGTATTTAAATACAATTTTTTAAGTAGTTTAGACTAGACTCGAAGTAGTTATAGTTTTTCAATTCATAATATTATGGTAGTTTAAATAATTTTTTTTTACCAATACATGGAATATTTAAATTATATAAATTAAAATTTCATAACAACATGCGTTATTTCAAGAACTACTATAAGTCAACACCGACGTAGATACTTTAAAATATTATGAATCTATTTGTGATATTGATACTTAAAAATTGGTCTAAATATTTTGAAAATTGCATTATTATACTGTGCAGAAAACAATAATACACTTAGGTAATAGAGAAAAGTTTAAAATCCTTACGATTTATATTTTTTTGAATTACGTGCAAAAATTCAACGGCTTATAATATAAATCAGTGACCAACTCAATGGAAAAGACGTGTGTGAACACGTCTTAAAATGTACAATACTTAAAGCAGAGAGGTTTTTAAGAACCAATTGTATTGGTCATACTGTATAATCCTGAAGTTAAACTCTGTTTTAACAAAAGTTTACCTGAGTTTATTATAATGCAAAAATCACGGTTCACATTTTGTCGGGTGAGTACTAAAATAGTTTGATCAACCAGATAATATGTAATTAACATAGTTTTTTTCACACAAGATATCTATATAAAATGATTAAGCACATGTTAAAATTAAAATATGATATTATATACCAGTTCGTCTTAAATTGATTTTAGATACATAATTTTTTTTTAGATATTTTCAGTGAACTTAAAGACTGAAACTATATAAACAGACAAAAATAATATAGTGACATTAAAATCATTGTAACAGAAAATAAAATCTGAATCAACTATTATGCAAAATCAGAAAAACATTCTTTCATTGTTCTAATAACGAAACTGTTAATTTCGAACACGCGATTGTATTTGTGATACCAGTTGAAACGAAACTTGTTTTATTTTATTATGACTCATAATATATAATAATTGGTACCTATATGCTGTATTGTTATACAAATAATTCAAAGCTCTTGTAAAAAACTATAAGCAACTTAAAATACAACCACTGCTGTATATCAATTAAAATATGGGTACCTATAATAGTTGACAAACGTAAATGTTTCAATGGAAGTAATTAAATTAATTATGGTTCTATTTGAATTAATCTAAAATATTTGAAACATAATTTACGAGTATGTATGGGTACTTAATACATTTTCAGTACAAAACAAAAAAAGTTTCTTAAATTTTTCAACATTTTGTAGTTTTTTATAGACAGTATTTATAAGTTTTTAGATTCTGATAGTGATTGTAAATGATAATGTGAGTTTAATTTTTCACTCGTTTTTTAACAGAAAATATTATACTCCAATCTTGAACTTTGAAGGTGATCTCTGGTATCAAACTGGACTTTTTAAAGTTGGTCAAAATTAGAAAATTTTAAATGATTGCCAAATTAATGGTAAAAAAATTAAAGTTATGGAAATATCAGCACAAAACAGATATTCTTTTATTTTGAAAAGTGAATAATTACATACTTTCATAAATTGTACCAAATGTACTTTACCTTACCATTTTCTTGATCCAATAACATTTGAAAAAATATTATTTTTGATCATATTCAGCTATTAATACATTTTTTAAATTATTGAATTGTCTTATTATAACTCAAAAGATATTAACCATAAAAAATTAAACAATTATATAAAATTATAACTTTATATACAGAATTATTTATTTCTTCGTAGATTATATTTTTATGGCTAAAAATGCATATTTATCAATGTTGTTTGCTTAGGATTAGCAATTTAATATAGGGTTCTTTGTAAGTTGATTTTACAGAAATTTTAAAATGCAGAAAATGTTTATGCATACTATTTTTGTAGTCATTTGAAGTTCAATTTTCGACGAAATTGGATATTCAAAGAAAAATATTGATTTTTCCTTTTTCTATTGAAGTTATTCTGTGGAAATTCAAAAAATATTAATAGATTTCCTTGAAACATTTTGTCCTTATCTACATGATATATTATTATTTTCTATAAACATTAAATTTTTTAATTTGGTATTCAGATTAATGTAAAGCTATTTATATCACAAACAAATTATTCACACAGCTCTACGGTACCTATTGACCTATGACCTATAACTTAACAAATTATTCACAATTCTATATTATGATGTACCTATTAGAATAATAATTATCATATTATTTTTATATATTTTTGGAAAAAAGAAGCTAATCCTATTGTTTTTTTAATAGGAAACTAAATTACTTGTAGACTATCAGTTATTTATTTAAGTACCTTTTAATTAACTGTTAGTGTTCGATTTAATATAAATAATTTGTAAAATACTCTTAGAAATAGACACCGTCTCCGCTTAGAATCTTTTATTGTTGTATTCAATAATTTATCATTAAATTCAAATTTTAACACATTGCAGTGATATACTCAATGAAAAGCTACACTATCGGAACATAGTAGAGCAATTTCATGGGTTTGAAAAAAATTGTATTTGTTTTTATAATTCGCAATTTTCATAAAATTGTATGACATATATATTAGGTACCTTTACAAAGTGTTTGAATACAATTGGGTTATTTAAAATTGTTGTTTTCAAGAGTTTTTGAATGAGCTGTTTTAAGTAGAAATATGAATGGTGGTGTAATTATAGATTTAAAACCTGATATAAAAACATTTAACAATGACCTAGGTAGTAGAGGTAGTAGAGGTAGTTTTGTAAAATTATTGTCGAAGGATTTAATTTATCGACACCAGAAGTGTCACGAGAGTGGGATTTTTGGTTGCTGGCAAGAAAGATACGATAATCCGGATGTCGCCTGTGGGCTGTCTTGCTTCGCATGGGGACTTACAATTTTGGTGAGTTGGCTTAACAGCGGGTTTTCGATATTTATGAAGTGGCATATGGATTTTTCAAATTCTGTAGTTAAACCTATCCCGGGTATGTTACATTATCCTCAGGAACGGATCCAGAGCAAAGATCTATGGGGGTGTGGGGGGGGTCAATTTTTTTACAGCGCAAATACAATTACAATATACACCATAATCTAAATTAAAATTGTTTTCCCAATGTTAGTAT